TTTGTTGACTTTTGATTAGTAAAATCAAAAACTTTATATAGAAAGAAAAACCCACATTCTACATGTATTATATTTTATTAATAAAATTCGACACTGTTGCATTTCTTTGATTTTCACTGTACGTATCGGTAAAAATCTTTTACATTACGTATTCCAAGACGATTGCATTTTAACTCATTTAATATCTTCCGAAAAATGATTTGTTCTCATATTTTTATCTGATTAGCAAAAGTTAGATGAATTAGTTAATCAAATCACAAAAATTATTTCTATTTCTTTTCTTGACCACTCACTGTAATTGGGACCAAATGATGGTACTATACAGTGTAAACGTTAATGATTCTTTTCCTATTTGACGACGATAAAGTAATTTTATTCCAATACAAAATTTAAATGTAATACAGTATTTGAAACATAATAAATAATTTTTACTAGTGTATTAGCATTAGTATTCAATATTTAACGGCTACGTATACAATTGTGCTGCGTATCGTTATAAAAAAAATTATACCGAACGTGTACATGTTAAACTTGTTTTTTATCAGGATTTTTTATTTGATAGTATACGTAACGAATACAAATTATAAAGGGGAATAGGGCTGCGCACAATCATACTACCATTAACGTTAATTGCGTTCAGTCTCAATTATCGCTATCGTTATCGTTATAACCAAAAAACTTTAGGGCGCAAAAGGATAGAACTATAAAATATCTGAATACTATAATAAAAAATTAAATAATATTCCTGATTTTGATTCTGTGATTGCACACACCTATATCGGAGTTAGTGTAATGTTCTTTGCTACATCCCATTGACGACTTCCTTGTGTCATTGTCCCTTACAACAACAACAACAACATATTACATGTATCCGTAAGAATGAAATCATAGTAGGTTGAGACAGAGATACATTTCATATTATCATATTACATACGCTTATAACATTTGACTCAATGACATGCATAAAAGAATTTCGCAAACGTACGTAATAAATACAGTAATAATTGTTAGAATCAAGAAAGTATACTCTAAATACATATAAAAGAAATGGATTTTAAAAATAAAATATATAAAGGAAATGGTTAACGCTAAAATATCTCGATATAGCAAAAGTTAAATGACCTCGATAACGTTATCGAAATAATTCTCGTATGCAATCCGCACTACCATTGGATATTCATAATTAGGCATATATTTTTGTTCCTGAGACCAATATGTACGATCCCAATAATGCAATTCATCGGGTTTACTATCATACCCAAAACCATCTTTGACGATATCCACCACATGTAATTTTACACTTTTTGTATGCTTTTTCAAGTTACTCAAGGCGCCTTTGAAACTCTTCGTTTTGATTAATTGGGTCATATCATCTTTAATTTTACCTTCATAATGTGGCATCTTTATCGTCTGCGTAAGTTTGACCATTTCGAGTCTCTCCCTGACAGTATTTATTTTATAAGCTTCAACTACTTCCTTTAATCGTTGTTTTTCACGTTCAGCTAATTCTGTGTATGAAGAATGAAGTTTAACGCCATATGTACAAACCGAAACATATAACTGGGAGAACGCGATTAAGGATGGGGCGGTGACAAGCGGATGTTGATAGAAGAGATGAGCCTCATTCTGGAAATCGTTTAGAACCTTCTGGCAGGAATGGAAGGCAGAAGTTACTTCAAATTTTCGATCTTCAGGAGAAATTTTGGTATTCTTCATTTGTTCAATACGAGATTCAATAGCCAATATTTCGGATTTCATTGAGTGTACAAGGGATTTTAGGATGGCACGGTTAATTTTTCGTTCTGTAAATTGTTCTAAAAGTGTTTCTTCGTCGTCGTCAGCAAATTTTGTTAGTTTCTCAATCATCTTAAAGGTAATCATAAGGGTAATATCGTAGCCTGGAACGAGTGCTGACGTAAGATCCTTGACCATCCCAAAGCTAGCTGCACGATTTTTTTTTTGCTCCAATACGTGGTCCATCATCTCTTTCATTTCCTGATCACTAACCGAAAAAAATTTTGGACTTGGAGAATAACCTCGAGATTGAGCGGTATTCATTATTGCGATGTCTTTTAGAATAATGAGACTTATTTTCAGAGCTTTCCGTTCGATATTTATTGAAATGTCCAATCTCCACCAAATTGGTGTAATGTTACATAGCGGACTCTATAATTAGAGTCAAGACAATACATAGTAAAGTCCGCTCTAACAAAGGACCAGTTGAGCGAAGGTTACATAATTGAAAGTTTTATA